CCAGGTGGTCCTGGCCAGCTGGTACCGGATGTACACAGGTGTAATGGGCTACTTTGGGATTCCCACAAAGATGTGCTGGTCCATTAACAGAGGAGAGGGACTCACTCCTGTGGACAGCTGTGAAGGTACAGACTGCCTCCAGTCTGATCTGCAAATACATCACAACACACACACACATCCAGACAGCAGGTTGAATGATGACTACATTACACAGACAGATAGATCACTGTTGTGACCTGGAGCTACACATTTAAAATGCTCACAGAGTCTCGCACTGACTTGACTGGATGACAAATTTCTTCTCAGACTTTGCCGATTTTCTTCTCTAATGGAAAGATGTCAAAACAGCTTCATGGGGAGTTGGCAGTTAAGAGAAAATGCATACATTTTACAAAAAGAATTAAACAAAGGAATCAAGTCTTTATAACTACTTTGTACTTCCAACAGAAACACCTTAAAAAATGTCATTACTGGCAAACTACTGTTTTTACCTCCAATCCTCAGCTCTGAGTTTTACCATGCATAGATTAAAAGCAGTAAAACATAATAATCTTATCAATTAGACTGCAATTATTTTGTTATTATTGATTAATTTGTTGAATACTTTTAATTAATTATTGTCATTAATAGATAAGAACGTTGAGTCATTGAAAATAATGAAAAATGTTAACTTCCCAGAGCCTAGGATGACAGCTTCAAATGGCTAGTTTTGTCTGACTAGTTTGAAAAAATGCTGAAATGATTTATTGATAATCCAAATGGTTGTCATTTTCTGTCCATCAACTAGTTAATAGTGAGATTAACAAAGCAAGGCTCATCATGTCAGGCGTTCCAAGCAAAGTTGTGACATTAAGTATGTAAACAGCAGCAAAAAGAAGTTGGTAGAACAGCAGTTATAACTCAGCAAGGGAAATATGATTATTATCATAATAGCCTGAGGGAAAGAAAAATGCTTTTAACCTATTGCACACAAATAGTTATCTGATATTTGTTTGCAGCAGCATTTTCTCGAAAGCTAAATCTGCTGACAGTAAACAAGCAAAGCAACTGTTGTCGGCTTTCCTTCACAGCGCCGTAATCTATGTGTTTCTGTCAGTCTCATTAGTGAAGCGCGGCACCCCAGGGTCGATGTATGCCGGCTGTTTTCACTGTGTTTACATAAACCTGACGCAAGCGGCCTTGCATAACAGCAAACAGAAAATGGGAACATTTCCTGTAACTGTCAGCGAGTGCATTATTTTTGTGAGGCGCAGAATGACAAAGTAGAGAGCGGGAAGTCTATATTACATCTTCACACTGAGCTGGTGTTGGAACGAGCTCTCCCTTTTCTGTTTGTCCTGTGATTTACCGTCCCATCACGCTGATAAAATGGCTCTTAGTAATGTCAACACACTTCCAAACATCTTGTTTGTCATTACAGCCTCGTCAATCCCGTCTGTGTAAATGCTAATTTAGTAAGGTGAAATGAAGTCAAGTCAGAAAACAACTACATCCACCCAATGAAGGTTTGAGTACAAATTGAGGAAGTTTCTGTAAAATTAGACACATTATTATTCAGTGTAATGTTCTTACTGTTTCTGTCAACACACTAGCTGAGCAGCGGGAACGTAAATGCTCCGCAGGTCTCAAATACGCCACGTACTCTCCTGCTAATTTCAATTAGCTTCGGTTTAATTTAAATCTGAAATGTCTGTCGTCTCTATGGTCTCCCCCTGTAAAAACAGCTTGTTGTCCCTTCAGGTATTGACATTTTTATCTTTATTTGAAAGCCGACAGCAGAGAAGTAGCAGGAAATGTGCCAAGGATTATAAAGGCAGATAAGCCAAGTCACTTCTGTGGTGGGAGGCCAAATCAACGGGGGCATATAAAGAGTTAAATTATGCTCTATTATTCATATGAAAATACAAAATGGGTTGGTCATGTGATTATGTGCACTGTACAACATTACACTCAGACTATAAGTTATACCTGACTTGGATGTCAAACACTAGACATAGCGTACAGAGCCACAATATGTAACACAAAAACACATAAACTAATTCAAACATTTTACAGCACATATGTACACTGTGCATTATTTTGGATGGAATGGTGTTTTTTTAGGTAATATGAAATCACAAATGGGATTACATGGCAGGAAATAAAAACAGGCCACAGAAAGCCTGCAGCAGGGGATTGTGGTATGTGAAATCCTCGTAGGGAGAGCACAGAGACCATGAATGTATCCGCCTGGCTAAGAGCTCTGCAGAGACGCTGCCTGCCCTTACACTTACAGTCTGAAGGAGACTTGTGCATGCCCCTTCCAGACTGTTAAAGAAAACAAAGACATAGATTTCCTGTCTTCTTCCGGACCAGGGATGATGACATGGTCAGTGTCTCACATTTAAGGAGCTGCAACCAGTGAATGTGTGGCATTTTTGGATGATGAATGACTTAAATAGATCAATCTGTTATCAATTATCAGTGCTCATTAGTTTCTTCATCCACAGTTGATCAGTTGTTGTAGCACTAGTTTCAGTCTCCTCTAGTAACCCTCTACTCTAAAAAAAGGCTCAACATCTTCTCTGTGTCTGTCTGGGTGTGTGTGTTGTTGTGGATGTTAGGGATGGGCGACCCGGCGTTTTTCTACGTGACCTGTGTGTTCCTGCTGAACGGCGCGATGATGAGCCTGTTCTTCATTTACGGAGCCTACCTCAGGTAAGTCCACTCCTGCCCCGGCCCCCGGCCCCGAGGCTCTGTCCTCTCATGCTCAGATACGCATCACAGACGAGTGGATGAGTTTTTACGGTCCGTCTCATCCCTCGGCCGTCAGCTGTCAAACACGGACAGAAAAACAGCTTTGCGATTTCTCTTCTGTCTATGTATATATAATATATATGGATTTGAGACATCAGACTGAGAATGACCTTTCTGAATCTGTTGTTTGCTCTCTAACTCTCTTCTCTGACGTCCCCACTTCTTTTCATATTTCCTGTCTAGTGGCAGTCGACTGGGTGGCATTGTTACCACAATGTGTTTCTTCTTCAATCACGGCGAGGTGAGTGCACTGCCCTTTCTATCAGCGTCAGTGAGTGAGGAGAGTTAAAATTCGTACTACAATTCTCTGCAAGTCTCTCTAGGTGTAAGCTTCTGAAATGTGTAAAACTCAAAATGAAAAAGCTCTCAGAAAAGCAGAGGGTGGTTAATAGGGACTCATTTTAGCCCTCAAAGGAGCTTAGAGTTGGTTTTGGCTGGCATTCAAAGCTGAGTCCCTCCACCCACCTCCTTCTCTCCAGTTTCCTTCAGAACAAATAGAAGGTCTCTGTTTTTCCAGATCAATACGCCGACATTCAGTCACACATACACACACACTCACAGGTGTTTTCGACCCTTTCAAACACCATTGTCTCCCCTTTCCAGTCTTTTCTTTCCTCTAAGTACAGTGGTGGGTTGTGACATTTCAGGAGCATCTGTGTTTCTCCCTTCCTTTTTGTTGGATGAAGCAGTGGGCTGGTAATGTAGCGTGGAGTGTTTGGAGGTGACAAACACGAGTTAGATTGTGGTGTGAAGTGTGTTATTACGTATAAATAGCGGTGTGGGATTTTACCGAGCGACACAGAAAGGTTCCCCTTTCTCAAAAATGCGTGCTAGCGAGAGAACAGATAAAACAGGGATGTCCCAGTTATTTTTGGCTGCGATCACAGTTCTGTGCTACCCAACATCTGACGATACACAGTCAAGTCCGATAAAATGACACAGCTGGCCAATAAACACTCAAACTACAACTTGAACTTGAAAATAATTAATTCTGTAAAAAGAACTGTGCCGAACATACTCGGTATAGTCGCATACATAGCATCAGAAGATATGCAGTGTTGATTAAATGTGTATCTGGCACATTGCAATAACAGCTGGAGGCTACTAAATTTGTCACACCTCATTTTTCACCATCTGCTTGATCAAAATACTGAAGGCCCTGATTCAAAACCATTAAGTTTATATGGTTAGATGATTATTATGATGATGTTTAACTGCGAGAACGTGACACGATGCGCTAAATCGTTTAACCAGAGAAGACTCCTCTATCAGGTAACTGCTAGCTAGTTTCAAACTAGTGATTTAGAGCTTAAGAAATGTCTTTGTTAGTAAAGACTTTAGTCATGTGTAAATCTGTTGCTAGGAAACCTCTATATCAGGATGTCACTGTAGCATTACAGACGAACATAACCTGCGTCCTTCTTATTCCACATTACGTCTTTTAGTCCTCACTCTAAATGGGTCACATATTAGCAAGCTCACCTGGAACCTGGCACTCAGTTGCTGTTAATATTTAGTAACAGTGCTGCAGGGAAACAAAATGCTGTTGAATTATTACACTTGATTTGCTTTTTTAATGTGCATGTTTTCTTTCTGTGTTATCAGAGCACTCGTGTGATGTGGACTCCGCCCCTGAGGGAGAGCTTTGCCTACCCCTTCTTAGTCCTGCAGATGCTCCTTCTCACCTACATCCTACGGTAAACTGACCAGCAGCCTCTAGTGGTTCAGATTGTCCCGCTACAAGTCTTTCATACCCTGTTAGCAAATTCTTTTATATTACAACATAAAAACACACAAATAATGTAAGAGTAAAAGTCATTTTGAAAATCTCAACTTGTCATGACTCACAGTGTGCCTGTTGGTGCACATACAGTGAACATTGCCAGTAGTGTCATCACACTCCTCCATATAATTCTGTCATAACACCTGCAGCTTTAAAAGTTCTGGTGGAACACAGTGGAACATTGTACAGCGCATTAGTTTGGTATTCACTCCCCGAATCTAACTTTACCTTAGTGCTTAGATCTTTTGTTTAGCAAAGACATAAAACACGTGGGAAAGCATCTGTTTTTCTTTTCATTTTAATACCCTGTTGAATATGTGAAATGACAGAAGTAAAGACTAACAGACTGCAGGCTACAGAATAACAGTTTGTCCTGTGTAATTACTGGGGAGAAGCAAAGCTAGCGGCTATTGTCTGCTCAGTAGTGCACTGAAGAAGACAGCGTGGTGAGCGGTGTACTTGTCACACAGACTAGTAATCTTCTCAGTGCACATCAAATAGTGGTCGCCACCTTGTGTTGTGTGAGTGCAGCCAGTAAACTGGGACTTCTTCTTCCTCCGGCTTTAAAAGGAGAATGAACTACGTGTCGTATTTCTGATGCTGGCTCAGTACATAACCGGGTCTTTGTAGTACACTCGGAATGAAATTGAAAGTGTGTGCTTGTGTATGTGTGTGTTTTCTCAGCCGTCTTAATGCATCTTCTCTTATCTCCTCTACACCCACACTCTCTTACCGCTCTATTTCTCTTCTCCCCCCCCCCCCCCNNCCCCCCCCCTCTGTCTCTCTTCTCTCTGCAGGACCCGGAACCCAAGCAGGACAGCCATGGTCGCTCTTGGCGTCTCCAATTTGTGCTTCATGCTGCCTTGGCAGTTCGCCCAGTTCGTGCTGCTCACTCAGGTAAACAGAGAGCAAAAGAAACAGTGAGAGAGAATGTGGGAAGAGAGGAAGAAGGGGCAGAGAGATTAGGGAGAAAATAAAGACTTAGAGAGATTAGAGGACTCCGGCAAGGAAGGTACAAAGAGAGCAGAAATTGGCCAGGATGGCAAAGACACAGAGGCAGGAAAGAAGAGGGATAAAGATACTGAAATTACAAGAATACGTCATTCACGTCCTTATTTCATACACTTTTCATAACCTACGGTAGATAAATGTGCACATAAAATGAGAATATACTGATTCTTTCAGAGTTGCAGACAAGTTAAAGGAAAAAAATAGTAGGTTAAAGAGTGTAGGCTGGCAGACAGCAGAGCCGTAGTTTGAACCACGACTCCAGCACAAACAGGTCACTGCTGCGAGCTTCTGTGCTCAGCAGCAGTTTAGCCCACGCTGTCAGCAGCCCCCTCAGGGCGCCGCTGCTTTCTGTACGGGGAGTTTAACACGAGGCGAGTTATTTAACAGTTCTCTTGGTTTTTTTTGTTTCATATTTTTAAACTGCTAATTGCACCTGTTCGCATGATCCACTGTATGGGTAACCCACCCTGAGGCCAAATACTGTACATCCACCCACACTGCTCACGCCTCAGTGGATACATATACTGAATACACACTGTCTGAAAAAGATTTTACAATCACAGAATTAGGGACGCTATTACAATATTCTTTTGTTAGCTCATATCCCTTTATTTTATAATTACATACCTGTACATAACTATAGAGCCTGGAGTGTGTGACCGAAATAATTATAGATTTTTACCGGGGTTTAATTATAGTGCTTTAATAAATTGATCAATTTTAAAAAACTTTAATAAGCAAGTTTGCATTTTAATTTGCAAGTATGAAAAAATAATAAGATAAAAAGCATCTTAAAAAGTATTTTTCTATACTTTGTAGTATAAATTACATTTAAAAAAAACGTTTTTTTTACAATTTTTAAAATTCATCACTTGGAAAAATAATTCCATAACTGGAATGATTAATTGGCAAATTGAATGATGTTTTTATGTAATTATACTTCACTACTTTAGAGTTGTATAATGCATAATTTAAATTCAAATGCATTTAATAGTGTGAAATGTAAGTGTGAAGTGTAATAGTGGAGCGATAACAGGAAATTAAGGAGAGAGAGAGATCAAAAGTTCCGCAGCTGGGTTTGAACCGGTTATTTTGTCATTCATGATTAGTGTCTTAACCACTATGCCATTGGGGTACCCTATACTGCGTTTTTAAAATTGATCAGTTTATTAATTGATCACAATCAAACACATCAGATCTGCAATTGTTCCAGTGGCACGCTTCAGGCGTCATTCATAGATACATGTACATTTACTCAATGTAGAGTTAATGTAATTTATTATTTTTTAATCTTACGCCTCCATTGCAGCACCGTGCATAACATAAACTACTGGACATGCACTACAAATGTACTGTGGATATTTAGTTTAGATTTGGAGTTAAAGGCAAGCTAAGTTAATTTGTATAGTAATTCAAAGTGCCTTACATAACATAAAAAGGCATTAAGATAAGATATAGAAGAAACACAAGGCAATATAAACACACTGCTCCGAGGTTTTAGATATGGTTTTATTCCCAAATTTTACATTTACACACATTTTTTAAAATGAAAGTGTGTGCTTTTTTAATGTATTGTGTTTTATACCTACCTTCTAATAACCCAGTTTTCTACTGGGAATAATAAAGTGCTCTGTCTATCTCTTTTTTAAAGCAGATGTGGTAGTAGAAGTGTGAAATGATAAACAGTTGACATTAAAATCCAGTTTCTATCAGAAGTGCTTCATATTTGGCAGCAACAACCTCCGCTCATGTGGAATTTCAAAATTTTAAATATGCAGCATCTGTGCCTGGCTCCAATTATTAGAGCTTCTCAACAGTTTTTTGTATATTGTTTAGTGTTAGAGTTTATTGTTAAGGTTGTCTATATTTTCTTCTTTTCCAGGTGGCTTCTCTGTTTGCTTCTTACATCCTGGGTTACCTCGCTGCCGCCAAGATGCAATCCATCCTGGTCACTCATATGGTACAGAATCCTACATCAGTCCATCCATCATAGAGTGTTAGGAGTGTTTCTGTTCCCTCACTGTACATATTTCTTTGTCACTGGTGCATGTTGCAGTGGCACTGGTTTCATGTATCACAAATGTATATTCGCTTTCACTGTGTGTTTGGCTCATGTGTTGTCCCCAGCATAAGTGAAAGTCTTTCCAGCTTCTTTCCTCTGAGCTGTAATGTGCTCTGCCTCGGTTCTCCTTATCGCTCAGCTCCTCGGCCGGAAGAATTTTATGAGCCGCGAGGACAATGCCAGCAGAGACAGGGATGACTTTTTTTTAGCATTAATGATGCCACTGCGCACGCACGAGTGCCTTTTTAGCATGAAGAAGGGAGGATATGTGGGCAACTTAGTTCACCCTGCTAAGGACAAAAGTATATCTGTGTTGATGTGAGAATGTGTACAGATGTTTTTGTTCGTGTGTGTGTTATTCTGGCCGCTGGTTCCTCTCCTCCACATTCTTTCCTCCTAATCCCCTCAGCATGCCAGGCTGTTAGCCAGGGACTGTGTGCTCTACAGATAAGGAGAAGGCCCTTTGTGGTGAGATGGTGGAGATTTGTGTCAGAGGAAGGCATATGGCTCTGCATAATTTAGAGAGCTTGGCAACGATGACTTTGGCTTTGTGTGTGAAAGAAAAAAAAAAAACGCACAACCAGGCGTGTGTGTCCTCTATGACCTACAGCGATGTTAATGAGCCTGAGCAGTGTCACTTGTTACAGGGCATACAGACGTGTAGAACTGCAACTACTGAATGTTTTAATTATCAATCAGTTACTTCTATAATTAAGTGTTTAGTTTTTAAAATGTCAAAAATAGAGTATATGGCCCATCGCAGTTTCTTTGAAATCAAACCAAAACTCCTTAAAATTTCAAAAGCTGGAATTAGAGAATAGTTGATATTTTAGCTTGAAAAATAAACAATTAGGCTTTTTTTTGTGCTGAAACAATACTGAAAATGAATCTGCAGTGATTCTGACTAGATTAAAGGACCAGTGTGTAGGATTTACTGGCATCTAGCAGAGAAGTTTTAGATTGCAACCATTTGAACACAATTCTATCTTCCAAGCATGTAAGAGAAACTCCAGTGGCTGCAAACATGAAAGGCCCTATCTACAGTGTTTGATTTGTCCGTTCTGGGCTACTGTAGAAACATGGCGGTTCAATGTGCCAGAATCTGTAGAAGAGGACCGGCTCACTGTGTAGATAAAAACAGCTCATTCTGTGGTAATGAAAACACAACAATTCTTATTTTATACTATATTATACAATAATGAAAACATAGCTATGAATATTATATTCCATTTCTTACATCTGACTCATAATGTGGATATATTTTTCAATTCAAAATGTAATTTTTATTCTTTCAAATGGGTTAAGCTACTCTTTAATCTTTCCACGTACCCCCTGGCAACTGCTGAAATACTCCGCTGTGTCACCACTGTCCACACAATGCACACTGGTGCATTATTTCAATCTTCACTGTGGGATTAAGCATCAAGAGTTCATTGAGTAGGATTATATTGTGCTAGTGGCTGCGTATTCAAAGTTTATTGCATTAGTTTAAATCTGTGGAGTGTTTTCAACAACACTGGCACCCAGAAAGACCACCCTCCTGCTATAGAGAGACAGTTATTTTTTGCAGGCGACAGTGAGGACAGTAAGGAGTGTTTTTATGAGGCCACTGGAAACCTACAGAAGCTGGCCATGTCTCTGAGCTCACTGCCAAGCTTGCGTGTTTGGCCTTATTACAGCGACAGATCATGGACATCAAGCTGCTGAAAATCACTGGTTACCATAGCCAGACGGGCTGCGCTGTACCGTCCACAGCCGCGTGGATGACCTCAGGAGCGTGATGAATGACACCTCCTTCCTGTTTTCATCCTGCAGATCACTCTCGGCGTCTGCTTTATCCTGATGTTTGGCAACTCCATGCTGCTCACGTCCTTCTACGCCTCCTCACTCGTCTCCATCTGGGTGAGCTGGACCTTCGAGTGCGATGTAGCGTGTGTACAATCATTGAATGTTCTGAGATTGATAGGATCAGACAAAAAATGTTCAGGTTGATCAATGGATCCGGCTGGTCTAAAATAACAAATACATTTTCTTTGTTTGAGTATATGGTATTGCAGAGGTAAAGCAACTAAAAATACAAAACCATGATAGAGATCATACATATGTTGGCTGTGGATTATTTTCTTTATTGTGTTTTGTGTTGTTGTTTTCAGGCAATCATTGCATTGAGGGATAGATTTGCTCAAGTCTTCAAACCTGGCATCGTCATCTGGGTATGTAGAATTTACTTCTCCTTCATGTGTACATATTTTCCAATGGTCATTAAGTCGCGACCCACTTTTAAAGAATTAACCAAGCAAAACATTTCTTTAACACAAAATATACTCATTTTTTCATCCCTACATTCAGGGAGCGTGCTGGACGAAAGGCCTTGCATACTTCTACACACATTGACACATTGACACACAAACACAGGCTGCCAAAATTGATATTACACACGGAGCAGTCATACAGCTATTAAACACACAAATACAATACTTTTTTAACATAAAATGCATACACATTTTCACCCGTGCACATTACTTTAGTTTAATAATAAACTGAGAATGAACATCACAACTGCTTGCTGCTGATTCTTATGAATGTGAACTAAATTAAGAACATAACTGTGTTTAACACAAAGTAAGTAAGGCCTACAAAATGGGCTGTTTTCACTTAACAGAAATCTGTGGAAGCTTTTGTGTTCAAATAAAAGTGAGACATCTAATAACGAAGCATTTAACATTGATCCCACAGCAGCTCGGGGCTTTGATTACAGCTTCCTGCCTGAGTTGTGTGTGTGTGTGTGTGTGCGTGCGTGTGTGTACTTGTCAGCCTGTCAGTGTGTATCTCTTCTTCCTCCTCAGGTCATGCAGGGTTTGGCTTGGGTCGGCTCCACAGTTCTGCTCAAATTCATGCTGTCCACAGTCCTCTGTGCCTCGGATGATGTAAGATACAATTAGTTATAGAAATTAAATTCCTGATATGATTTATATTTTTGTTTCAATGGGTTGCCATGTTTGAAGAAAGAGGCAGGAATGTGGAAAATTTAGTTTTATTTTATTTAGTAGTAGTAGTAGTAGTAGTAGTAATAGTAGAAGTAGGAATTAAAGAAAAACTTACATATATTTTTTTTGTCTTTTCCAGGCTCACATCAGTGGACTAATAAAGTCTAAGTTTACAAGCTACAAGGACTTTCACACTCTGATGTACACGTGTGCTGCTGAATTTGACTTCATTGAATTAGAGGTACGTTTTCATCAAAATCTTCATTCATCATCCTTGTAAGTTTGTGTGCTTATGTGTTCACTAGGGCTGCACATAACAGTTATTTTCATTGTTGATTAGTCTTGCTTGGTTGTCTTGTTTTGTCCACAACCAAAGATATTCAGTCTACTGTCATACGGGACTAAAGATACCAGAAGATATTCACGTTTGAGAAGCGATTAATTGATTTTTAAAATAGTTATTTAATTGACTAACAGCAATAGTGTTAACTGATATAATGTTACTTTCATGTGGTTTGTGAAAATCCTGCCAAACATTTGCTTTCAAAAGGCCCATCAGACTCCTGTGAAGATTTCAGAAATAAATTAAAATCTGTTTGGTATCAAAGGCTTGTATTTTCTCCCAGCAGGTGTCAGTGTATAGGGAATCAAATCTATGCTAACAGGAAAACCTGACAGCAAAAGCTGGCAGCTCATTTTGAGTTGAGTTCTGTGCTAGACAGCGGCCTGGTTTTGTGCTTGTGCATGTGCATACAGGTGGTTAGAGTAGAGTGTACATTATTAGATAGCTCTGTCTCTCTCATTTCCTACCATAACCTACTCTGTGTGTCTGTCTCCCTCCCACTCAGACTCCCGTACGCTACCTTAAAACATTGCTGCTGCCCATCAACATGCTGGTGGTTGCTCTCATTGCTTGGAGGGTAAGTCTTCTGTACCTGTACACTTGGGTTTGTTTTGAAAAGTGGCACAGTTCAAGTCCGGCTGCAAAACATGAAGAGGACATGAAGGAAAGTGAAGAGCTCTGAGTGAAGTAAAACAGTCAGTAGGTTCAGTAGCTTATTCCTGATTCCGGAATCATGAAATATTATGGGGGGGAGGGGACATCCGAGAAAATAACTATTTAAGGAGCTGCTCTTTATGTAGTCTAATCTCATTATGCCTTGCCCACGCTAAGCTAAGAATACATGAGTCGATTTGACAAAGCATGGTCTGCAGTACATGAGCTGGCTGTTAGGAAGATCCTCTCATACACTGCACTATTTGTTAGAAACATGACATATTAAGGAATATCCTTTGCATTTCATTCTAACCATTTGTCCTTTTTCAGACTCTGCAGGATATAGTCCGGTTCCTGAGGGACGGAGGGAAGACCGATGATGTTGATGAAGCTGCAGGGTGAGACCTTCTGAGGCCTTCTTGCTGGCCTGATTTCACTATTCTTACATGTTCGCTATATTATTACAGTTTTAAATAGGAAAATATGATATTTTGGACAGCTGAGTTCATATATTTCTGTCTGTTCCTTGTTGCAGGTCTGAAATTGTCGGAAAAGGAGAGGTGAGAAAAAATACTTTTCACACTAACACCTCGTTTTGTGTAGTTCCATTTTTCTAAACCGGATTTATTTGATTAGATTGCTCCAGCGCAGTAATGTCTGCTCAGTTACCGCATCCCAAAGTGATTTTCATCCCTTTTTTCATTACTAAGAAATGAAAGGCAGCTTCCCTTTCTGCTCTGAAATCACACTGTGCTGCCTTTTGTCAGCTTTCTCCCAGCTGCTTCATGTCATTTTCTGTAATATCATTCCCAGGGCAGGAAAGCATTCTGATGTTCATTTGCCAGCCACACAGTTTCCCAGATAATTGCTTCAATGTTTCTATATGGCCCAATGAGTAACGCTGCAGAGACCCAAGCGTGTCCTCCTTCCTCACAGGGAGAAGAAGTCCTAAAGATCAAAGCATCATGCAAATGTCATTACACAGTCTGTCCAGCAAATGTAGCTTTTCTTCAGAGTTCAGATCAGCTGCCTCTCAAGAGATCATAGTTTCACTCAGCGTAGGGCTGCAGTGTATGATTTCTTTATCAATTAGGGCTGTGACTTTAAAAATAGTCTGAACAATTTAGAACAGGGAATTAATGTGAACACAATCATAACCTACTTTGCAAAATGAACGTTCAGCGACAAGCTTATGTTACTGTCATCTTACATCAGCAATCCAGGATTTTTCCATCCATGGTGTTGAATCCAAAATACTTCCTCATATTATATCTCAGTTAGTTTGTTGCAATAATTCAGGGTTACCACGCATCCTGGAAAACCTGGATATTTAGAGACTTTCCAGTCATAGAAACACCTGGAAACTGATTAAAATGACTAAGTATACTGGAAATAATATATGTTGTCTTGGAAATGTTATTGTATTTTAGGCCTTCACTCAGATTGCCTGTTTAAACAAGGGTTAGAGGAAAACTGTAGTAAACTGTAGTCAGATCATTGCGGCTTGGGCTGTGGTGAGATCAGCTGAAAGCGAGCTAATGTTGGGTGTCCTGTAAAGGCTGACCACCCAGCTCACATCATCATCACCCTGCATCATTTAAAAAAAGGAGGAATAAAACTGCGAAAAATTTGTAAATATGAGGCCTACCAGTAAACGATATGACCGTTTGTGAGAAAGTGCTGTCCT